AGGAATGTCTAAGAACAAATCTAGACTCAGACACTTACTAGCTATATGACCTTGGGCATATCATTTAACTTCTATTTGCCTCAGTTTCATCAACTATAAAATGGGCATAATAATAGCACCTATCTTGCAGAGTTGTTGTGAAGATCAAATGAGATATTTGTGAAGTGCTTAGCACAGTGCCTTACACATAGTAGGCACTTAATGAATGCTTGTTTCTTTTCTCTGGAATCATGGTTAGTCATTATGCTAATCAGTATTAATAAGCCTTTCAAAGTTGTCTTTATAATGCTGTTGTCACTGACTGACAACAGATCGATAGATGGTTCTGCTCACTTTACTCTGTATCAGTTCATACAGGTCTTCTCAGGTTTTTCTGCAATTGTCCTTTTCATCATTTCTTACGACATAATAGTATTCCATTACATTCACACATATTTTAGAAAAGGAAAAGAATATGGTCTTTTTGTAAGAGAGACAATGGTTTAAAAAATTTTTAACATATGGCCAATTTAATCTGTAATTTATATCCTGACCCACTAAAATTCCCTGGCACAGTGGAAAAAAGAATCATTCCTGAAGACAGAAGGCCCAGGCTTTGATAGCCAGCTCCAGCACCTAGAACTGTGTGATCTTTAGCACTAATGTTGGAGATACAAAGAAAGAAGCAGAACAGTCTTTATGCTCAAGGAGCTTATATTATATCAAAGAAGACAACATGTTCACAAGGCGATTTGTGGGAGAAAGGAGACTCAGCATTTGGGGGGAGGGGCAGGGATCAGGAAAAGATTTGTGTAGAAAGCACTCAAATAGAGTCTTGTCAGAGACTAGGGATTCTAAGTGTAGGTGAAGTGGTAGTGTGTTCTAGGCATGGGAAACAACCATGCCTAGTTGGGATGGGAGACAGATTACTGTAAGTACCAGCAAGATGGCTATTTTAACTGGCCCATAGAAAATGTGAAGGAGAGTAATGAATAATAAGGCTAGAAAGGTTTGAAAGGGGGTTGTGTTTGTTCCTCTGGGTAAATACTATAATTTATTGAGAAGAGGAGTGACTTTTTTCCCACACAATTCCAAAATGTTTTTCCAGGAAGACAGACCAGTTCACAGTTCCACAAATAATATATTACTGCGCTGTCTTCCTTTATTTGCTTATATGATGTTCTGAGACTGTATTCATACAAAGGAGCTAAATGATACCGTGGATAGAATATTAGACTTAGAATCAAGAAAACATGAGTTTGAATCCAGCTTCAGACTCTTTTAAGCTGTGTGACCCTAGGTGAGTCACTTAACCTTTTTTTTACCATGGTTTCTTTATCTGTAAAATGGGATGATGATAATAGTCTGTATCTCCCAGAATTGTTGTGAGAATAAAATGAGATAATATTTATTAGAAGACAGGGAGGGAGGGAGGGAGGGAGGAAGAGAGAGAGAGAGAGAGAGAGAGAGGGAGAGATGACATGCAACTTAGCAAATGCTTGTTGAATTTGGGTAATTATTAATCAGCCCCTTAGAGATGGGAAATTAGTTATGGGCTTAAATATAGTTACTGAGACATCTTGAGATAGTGAATGCCACCATAGGAAAGACAAGAGCATTTTACAGGCTATGTGATTTATTCCTCTTTAGCTATGTGTGACGCAGAATTTTGTTTTGTAACTTTCCTTGTAGGATCTCAGACATGACCTAGAAACAAAGCTAAATCTCTGCATTCTAAAACTGCGCCTCTTGGGAAACTACAAAGAATCTCTTGATAAAGAGTTCCTTAAAGTGGTAGGGAATCTGGAGAGATCCGAGCACAAATATCGCCGTGTCAAGAAAGAATTACATTTCAGGTAATGTTCATTAATTTTTTTTAAAGAAATCTGTGCTTCATATGTATAGTTAATTTGTAAGTCTCTGATGTGGCCTTCATTTTTCTTCATTCAGGTTATGAGAATGTGACTTGTTCTCATAAAACCTTTTGTTTGCCAGACGTGACATGTTACATAATTAACTTACAAGTTCTAATATGTGAGCAATAAATGTCTAAATCTACAGAGATAATAATATCATTCCTCTACAATAGGAACTTTAGAATCATAGAATAGAATTTTTAGATTTAAAAGTAATAACAAAGATCACAGGTCCATAAACTGGACCTGGAATTAGCATTGGAGGTCATCTAGTCTAACATTCTTATTTTACAGATAAAGAAACTGAGGACCAGACAAATCCTCAAAGAAATTACATTCTAATGGGGGAAACAACATCTACATAAATTGGTTCATAAAAGATAAATGTAGAAGAGATGGAAGCATAAAAAAAAGGCACTAGCAGCTTGAGGGACTGGGAAAGCCCTCCTGCAGGATGTGGTTTTTGGAGTAAATCTTAAAGGAAGCCAGGGATTCCAAGAGTCAGAAATCATGAGAGAGAGAGCATTGTAAGCCCAGAAGACAGCCAGTGCAAAGGTGCAGAGACTGGAAATGAAGTACTGTGCATGAGAAACAGCAAATAAGCCAATATGGTTAGAAGTAGAGTGGGTGGACAGGAGTAACGGGTTAAAATTTCCTGTAGACTACATTAAAGAAATTGCTGGAGTAGAAAGTTCTTTCTCTTCCTAGAGTAGTATGGGTTCATCTCAAACATGGCTTCTGGGAAGTAGGACACCCTACTGGACTTGGCATTTTTATTACCTGGGTGACTGGAAGCCATGTAAAAGCTCAGACCCTTATCCCCTGGACCACCAAATCTTAGAAACAGCTCCTCTGCCTTTTAAGGAAATATTAACCCAGCCCATGTGACAGGGACTCTAATAGAAGTTGCTCCTACTACACCCAAGCCTTAGTTTCTTTATCAGTAAAACAACTGGGGGTTAAAAGAGGATTAAACCTTCCAGCTCTGGTAGACTATGTGTATATTCTATTGAACAATTTGGCAAACATTGATTAAGCACCTATTATATGGAAAACATTGTTTAAGAAGCTGGGGATACAAAGACAAAAAGAAATATGCTTCTTGCACGCAAGTAGCTTATATTCTATTGGGGGACACAGCATATACCCAAATAAGTAAATCATTTTAGGAGAAAGAGATAGCATTTACAGCTAGGAGGATCAGGAAGGGCTTCCACACCTGAAGTAAGCCTAGAATGAAGTGAAAGATTCAGAAGGGTAGAGATGAGAAAGAAGAATATATGCCAGCATTGCTTCTGTAAAGTCATGGGTGTACAAAGTGAAGTATTGAGTTCAAGGAAGAGCGAGTAGTCCCATTTCCCTTGAATGTAAATTCGTGTAGAAGTGCAATAAGTAGGATCATAGGATTCATTTATTTCCAGCTGTAAGAGACACTAGAAGTCATCTAGTACAGCCTCCTGCTTTTAGAGATGAGGAAACTGAGGCCCAAAGAAGTCAAAAGACTTGTTTGTCCAAGATCACAAAGGTGAGCAGAGATGGGATTTAAGTTCAGGTTTTCTATCTCTCATTCAGCATGGAGCCAGATCATAAAGGATTTTAAAGACCAACATGACGAGTTTGTATGTTAAACTAGAGGCAAACATTTGGTTCCTCTGAACTTAAATGTAGGTAGAGCTCATAATTATATGAAGAAAGCAGCCAGGAACATAGAGTTCCATATTTGAAGGAGATAATTCAAGAAAGAACATTTTCTTTTCCCCTTAGAGATAAGGGACTGAGGATACCAGAATGAGCATGTAAGGCATGGATCTTCTGTTTTCCCTAAAGAGCAGGGAGTCCAGACTTCCTCATAGCAGTGGGTGGTGTGGGTATATGACTTCCTTCAAGAGATACCATCCCCCTCTGCTAGGGTTATCATTATTCCCCTTTCAAGCAGTTAAGAATAGTTAAGAGAAAAGTACAGGCAAGACTGGGTCAAATTAGAAGTCAGCCTAAGTATACAGATCTCCCATTACATTAGACATGAAGAAGAATGGTATAATGGAAAGACTTGAAGAAACCTGAGTTTGAATCCCATTTCAGCTGCTGACTAGTCCTGGGCAAGTCTGCAAAACAACAAGATTCACTTTCACATCTGAAAATGGGGCATTAATACTTGAGCTTCCCTACAGTTGAGGATTATGAGAAAAGCTCCTGGTAAACCAAAATAAATACATTAATAGTATTATCTGACATCAAATGAGTCCATTTTAATGCTCATTAACACATTACAGCCTATTTGTAAAAGTTATATCATGGAATATATTGATTTAATGCCCTTCTGAGAATGACCTTGTATTACATAGTTACCATCCCTTCCCTTACAGATAGCTAGGTAACACAGTGGACAGAGGTCTGGCCCTGGAGTCAGGAAGACTTGAGTTCAAATATGGCTTTAGTCACTAGCTGTGACCTTAAGCAAGTCACTTAACCTTAGTTTCCTCAACTGTAAAATAGGAATAGTAATAGTACCAACTTTCCAAGATTGTTGGAGAATCAAATGAGATATTTGTGAAGTGTTTAACACAGTACCTAGCATATAATGGATGCTTGATACTAATTACCTTCCTTTTTCCTATTCTCCTTCCTTCCTTCTTTTATTAAAAGATTGACTAAGAGAAAATGGGAACCTAAAAATATAGTTCATTCCTAGGTCTCAAACAGATGTGAGTAAAAAGTTCTAGTTTCCATGTAAGCACATATTAACTATGACAGTCTTTATTTCACCCCAAAGAAAATGCCAAAAACAAACAAAGGACTTATGGTAGCTCACCAACAGGAGATACAGTTCTCCTTCCCTTTATGGGGAGTGCCCTTTCACAAAAACAGGAAAGGCCTCCCATCTTTACAGTTTTCTGACCTAAGGGTTTAGACTCTCTTTGGAAGAGAAACTTGCTCCTGTAATATGTAACAGAGGAAAAGAAAGGTGGGCATGTTCTAGCATGCACCCTTGATTTATGGAATTCCAGGTTCCAGTGGAAGGATATACATAATGCCATGTACCTAAATTCTATGAGGGAAGTCCAAACAAGAGGGATAACAGATGCCCAATAATGACATCCAGAAAACGCAAAGGAAACAATTTCATTGAGGAGGAAAAATGGAAGCTGTCTAGAAAAACTAATGTGGATGAACAGGGAACTCAAACCAAGTGGGATTTTAAAAAGAAACTTACAGAAGATGAAAACAGGAATAGGTAACAAATGATGTGTGGCATAGTACTGTAAGAATAGGATAAGGAATGCTGAAGCTCAGAATGAACTGAGATAAATGAGGAAAACAAAGAATGATAAAAAAGGTTTTCAGTTTTCTAGCTAACTTGAAAGGAGAGAAGAACAAGGAAGGGGATAGGACTGCTTTTTGGGCAGGATTAAGCAATGGTAACTGATAATAGAAAAGGGGCAGAGCTATTCCATTTTTATTTTGCTTCTGTTTGCTCTGCCAGGTAGTGCAATCCTTGGACAGTAAAGGACTGAACAAAATTGGTTAACAGGGAGTTGATAGCCAATATAAGGAATATACCCAATATGAGGAAAGATACACTAAGAGAGGCTATTTGCCCAAATGTCCTACATCAGGTACTGAAATTGATAGACCTATTGCCAGTTATCACTATTTGAAAGACTGTGGAGAACAAGAAAGATGCTGTGGGACAGGCAAAGGGCAACTGCCCTGCCTCTTTTTTAATGAACAGCTCAAAAATATAATTTCCCTTTAAAAATAAAAATAGAATATTTACCTTTCTCCAGACCCACAGTATTGTTCAATTCAACTCCATTCTCTTTGATCTTTCACATATTAATAAACGTGGCTCAACAATCACATCTAATATTTCTGCCAGTCCCCAAGGATGCAATTCATCTGATGCAGGTGATCTGATCCATCAAAGGCCATTAGAAACTCTCTTATTATATTTTTCCTTAATTGGGTATCAATTCACTGTTACTGAAGTGATTACTATAACATTCGTAACAAAAAAAATAAATTTTTAAGTAGGTGGTGATTATAAAGAGCAACACAGGTTTATCAAGAACAAGTCAAAACAATCAGCCATATTTCCTTTATGTACAAGATTAATCAACTGATAGATCAGAATTTCTGTTTTTTCTTATATCCCTTTTAGATTTGTAAAGCACTGTATTCATGATGCCCTGGTGAGATAGGTATTGCAATGATCATAATCTTCACTTCGCAGATGAGGAAATAGTGACTCTGAGAGGTTCAATGACTTCTTGACTATCTGTTCAACCTACATTTTTAAAAATTTTATTTTATTTTTTGTTACAGTTGAAGTTCTGAACCATCTCCCTCCTTCCTTTCATACACACACATATTATATGTATGTATGTATATGCGTGTGTATATATGTATATGTGTGTATATATGCATATATACACATATACGTAAAACCATGCTACACACACTTCTGTTTATCAGTTCTTTCTCTGGAGGTGTATGACATCTTCCTTCATAGATATTTTGTAGTTGATTTGAATATTTATAATGCTCAGAACAGATTAGTTGTTCCCAGTTATTCATGGAACAGAATTGCTATTATTGTATACAAAGCTCTCTTGGTTCTGCTCATTTCACTCTTCATTATTTCATGTAAGTCTTTCTATGTTTTTCTAATATCGCTTATTGTTTCGTACAGCTCAGTAGTAGTCCATCACAGAATTTCATAGGTGCAGTTTGCCTAGATTCTAGCAAGGAATTTAATAATGAATCTTATACAATTTATTCTCCTAAGCAAACATGGAGAGATATGAGTTAGATGATGGTATGATCCCATGGATCCATAATTGGTTGGTGGAACTCACAGTAGTTAATGATGGTTTATTGTCAGTGTGAAAGATATCCATGGAATAACTCTAGAGCTCCATGCTTAGTCCTGGATGATTTAACAGTTTTATCAATGACACAAGACTGAGAGGGAGAACTAACTCAGTGGCTGACAGAGGCAGGGTCCAAATAAATAATGAGAAGTTGGAGAATTGGGAGCTGAATCCAATAAGGTGAAATTCAGCAGGAATAAATGTAAAGTCTGACACAATTCAAGAAATCACTGTCATAGGTATAAGATGGGAGAGGCATAATCAGATATAAATTTGAGTTTTTTATTAATTTTAAACTCATTTGAAACAAGAGTCTGATGTGGCAGCGTCCTTAGGTTGCTACACAGGCATAGCTCTTGAGCATAAAGAGGTGATCTGTACTTTGCCCTGGTCAGGCCACATCTGGTCATCTGCATCCATATCTGAGGAGCAAAGTACAAGAAATTGATTAGGTGGAGAACATCCAGAAAAGGGAAACCAGGATGGTTAAAGGAAGGAGGGAAACAAGCATTTATTAAGTGCCTACTGTGTGCAAGACACTGTGCTAAGTGCTTTACAAATATTGCCTCATTTGATCCTCACAACAGCCCTGCGAGGTAGGTGTTCTTATTATCCCTATTTTAAGTTGAGGAAACTGAGGAAGACAGAGGTTAAGTGACTTGCCCAGAGTCACACATCTAGGAAGGATCTGAGACTGGATTTGAACTTGGGTCTTCCTTATTCCAGGCCCAGTGCTCTATCCACATCCTGACCTCACTGCCTCAAAAGCCTTGAGATTATGCCGTATTGAAGGAACCAAGGATATTTAACCTGGAGAAGGAGAATGTGAGGAAGATCATAGCTGTGTTCCAGTATTTTAATACTGCCATATGAAAATAGGATTAGACATGTTCCATTTGGATCCAGAGGGCAGAAATCAGGAACAATGGGTGGAAGTTAAAAAAAAACAATTTGGACTAGATGTGAGGAAAAACTCTCAGCAATTTGAGCAATTCCTAAGTGTGATGGACTGTTTCAGGAGATAAGTATGTTCGGAGATCTTCAAGCACAGCCTGCATGACTATTCGTGGGTATATTGTAGTGGGAATTCCTGTAGACTTATAGGTCAAGTCAAGTCAACAAGCATTTATTAAGTGCCTACCACTCAAGGGCCACCAAAATCGCTTCCAGCTTTAAAATTATGGCTAGATAAGCAGTCTTTTGGCATTCCAGTAAGTTCTACTTCCATCCTAATGGAAATATATAAGCCTATGGCTTTCAGTAGTATCCTGAGTCTTTGTATTCCTCTGGAAAGGATTTAGAAAACGGGTCCAGGAATTCTCCTTCTATTGAAGGAGTTTAGGTCACATGGCTCCATTTTCTCCTGGGACCAGGTGGCTGAGAGACCTTGTTCTGTTTCCTCTACTTCCCCTTTCTCTCCTGAAGATGCAGGTCTGCTTCCCAGGGTTTCTACCTCTACCCTAGTTCTCTCTCTTTAACTGTCCAGATTGTATATCTCTGGATCTAAAGGCATAGGCAATAAGGAACCATTAAAGGGTTTTGAGCATAGTGATAACATGATTACATCTATATATAAGAAAGATGTCTGGAACAGTTTGAAAGATAGACTGGAGAGGGGAAAAAATAAAGGCAGAAGTGTATTTCAAGAGAGTGTTGCAATAAGTGATTCATAATGGTCTGTACTAAGATGGTAGGAGTACCTAAGTGCAAAACCTTAGAGGAGACTCAGAGGGAGACATAATCCTTCCTCTCAAGGAATTTATGTCTAAGAGGGGAACTAAGATACACAAATAACTACAATATCAAATAGCACATAATAAGGACAAATAGCACATAATAAAAGAAATATAAGCAAATAAGCTATGAGCTCCACACCAAGGAAATCATGGAAGGCTTCAGGTAAGAAGTGCGCTTGAACTAGTATTTGAAGGATGAGAAAGATTTTAGCAGGAAGAGGGTAGGGATATTCCAGGCATGTGGAATCATATAAGTAAAGATGTATAGGGAAGTAGAGAAATTGCTCTAGAATCAGTGATGAGTAGGTCATCATGTGTGGACAGATTATAGAAGGCTTTGAATGGCAAGTTGGAGAGTCTGAAGTCTATGAGAAATTAGGAACCTTGGGAGATTTTTGAGCAAAGCAATGATGTTAATTGAGCTATATATTGGGAAGATTGATTTGTAAGTCTTGGATAGAATGAATGGAAAAGGGAGAGACTGAAGGTAAAAGATTGGTAAGGAAACTGTGAGAAATACAAATATGAAAAGTTCTGTCGTATGAAAGTGCATTAATCTTCCCTTACAATTTGAAATTTTCTGGTTGAACTAACCTCTTTTAGAATAGAAAAGGGCTGGGCAGCTAGGTGGCGCAGTGGATAGAGCACTGGCCCTGATGGCAGGAGGACCTGAGTTCAAATCTGACCAACCACTTAACACTTACTAGCTGTGTGACCCTGGGCAAGTCACTTAACCCCAATTGCCTAAAAAAAAAAAAAAGAAAAGTGCTTTTTTAAGGGAGAAGAGGTCTAGACCTGTGATATTATTGGTGTTAGAAAACACCCCGCCCCCATACACACACACACATCTCAGTTCAGGTCAACAACTCATTTGTAATTCTTATTCTTAGAATTTGTAATTCTAATCTTAAAAGGATGGCCCAAGACATTGAGAGGTAAATTGACTTTACCATCTTCATAAGACTAGTGTGTATTAGAGATGGCACTTGAACTCAGGTTTTTCTAATTCCAAAACTGCCCTTCCATACATTACATCATGTAACTCAAAAGACAAATGATGCCTGTGCTAGCTTTTATATCCCAATTGGGCATTCTGAGGGGTCACTTAGCTTTTTACAATTCCATTGGAGATCCTATGGGCATGAAAGAAGCTAATATTATTGGGGCAATATACAGCAAAAAAATAAAACTGTGGTGTCATCATATGCAAAGATGAAGCTACTGACTCATTATCAGTAGACTATGTAATTTCAAGAGTACTAATAGTTTTGTACTAAGCTTTCTTTGTACTAAACTTTCTGGTTTTCTTTGTAACCAGAACTAACTTCCTACATAGATGAAATAGACAGCCAACTCCCTGTATGATTTGAAAGACAGCTAAAAGATCATTATCATGAAAATATTTTCCTGTACCAATTTGTCATGGTAACTGATATATCCAAAATCATTAATTCTCCTGAATTAAGACATTGTTTTCAGGCAATCACTATGAAAATTTCAACATTTTCTGCATTACTGTATTAGCTCCTCAACTTGGATTGGTTTATCATATTCTTTAGAAAAGAATAGAACCCAAAGGAAATGGGAGACAGAATGAATATATTTTGTTGGGGATTGAGAAAGAACACACCCCAATGGTAGCATGATAGAAGTTTTGAAGAGGGGAAAGCACACCGAAAAAGGAGCAGTGGCATCTGTTTCACATTTGTCTCAGATAAACCCTACTGAGTAGTCTCACATATTTGCAAGATGGCTAGGTGGATTGTATTCCTAGAAAAGAAGATCATGAAAAGACAAACATATCTATATTTTCAGTCTTATTGTAGTGTTATACTCTAATCAGCTGGCCTAAATTCATTTAGGAGAGAGTCAAACGAGATGATATTTGTAATGCACTTGGCCCAGTACCTGATACATAGTAGTTGCCTAATAAATGCTTGTTCCCTTCCCTGTACCCCTTCCATAGTCAGTCAACAAACATTTTATTAAGCACCTACTGTGTACCAGGCACTGTGCTAAGTGCTGGGGATACAAAGAATGACAAAAGACACTCCCTGTTCTCAAGGAGCTTATAGTCTAAAAAATAGTTTGCAGCAAAAATAAATAAAATGGGTCATAAATTGCCATTTCTGTCTGAAATACAAAATGTGTATGTCCTTTTAATGTGTCCCCTAATTTATGAGGAACTACATTAAATATGAGTTTATCAGAACTCTCCAGGTGTGTGACATTTGAAATGTCACTGACAGCTTGTGGTTTGCACTTTCCCACCACTCCCCTCACCCCCTTCCAGAGAGAAACAGTTAGACGCCATTAAAAGGTCACAAGAAGATGCAGTAAACGAGGGAGACACACTTAGGAAGCAGCTCCAAGAAGCTATCAAACAAGTGGAGAATGCTGAGCGGCAGGTAAAGGGGAATCTGACTCATTTACCCACCAACTCTCCTTGGTGTGATGAGGCAAAAATGGAGAAAGAGGAAAAAAAAAAAGAAACCCAAAGGGGAACTGCTCAGCTCAGACCCCAGCTCTCTTGCTCTAAGCAGAGGAAGTAAAAGGGGGAGTTGTAAAAGAGGTGGTGTTAACAGCCTAGCTAGCCTGCTGATGAAAGAGGCAGCTTGGCACATAGAGATTCTACCGTTGCAGAAATAGCTCAAGCATACCAAACCCATGCAAATACAGAATTGCAGAAGTTCAGCAGGAGCTGATCACCCTCCTGAGAAGGAAAGCAAATTTTGAAGTGTGTGTGTGTGTGTGTGTGTGTGTGTGTGTGTGTGTGTGTGTGTGTGTGTGTGTGTGTGTGTGTGTCTGTTCAGGAGGGAGGTCGGATTAACAGCCAATTGTTTTCCAAGTTTGCTGCTTTGTTAAAATTCAGCGTTCCTATTGCATGTCCAGGCTAAGGATCAAGAACAGGCCCTCCATGCTGCCAAGGAAAAAGCTGAGTCTTTGCAGCGCAAGTTGGAGGAAGCTGTTTCTGAAGGGCAAGATTTCCAAGCATTAAATAGCACCTTATCAAATGCTTGCCAGATACTTGGACAGAAGACAAGAAAACTGAAACGTAAGTACTACTGAGTCATTTTGTTTCATCCTTAAGTATAACATAAAGTTGGGCAGTGGATGAAAAACTTGCTTTCTAGCTCATGACTGCTATTATTGTCATCTGGATTGGTGACAATGATTGACCCTGTGGCCTAGGCTTTTCTGGGCTTTCCTAATGGCTGCTTAGTCTGAGTCACCCAGACAACATAACTTGCTTCTCTGCACTTTCATCAGGCACTGGACCTTCCAGTAGTTCTATTTCTTAAAAACAAAATGCCTCTGAGACTAAATGGAGAAATAACAACAACAAAAAAATAAAGTATGCATAGTCTATCTTGATAATTTTATAAGTCAGCTAGTGCCCAGAGAATAGAATACCTCCACAATGATGCATACCCCACTCAGTGGGAAGAAACAATGTCACAAAATTGTTTAAAATCTCTCTATAGTAGCTGGTACTACATGGGTATTCATTAAATATATGTAAAAAGAAAAAAGCCCAACAATCTTAATAAAGCATTCTTACTATAAAGTTTGATAAAACAAAGATGCATTTCAATTTTCTCTTGCACTTATGGGTGTTTATCTTTACTAAGAAAATTTTATAGGCAGTTGTTTAAGAAATACTTCACTATTTTAGAACTGAAGGATTTCATCTAAAATGAAGTTAAAGGTTAGCTAGAGGGTCAAGGGTGCCCTTGCCTTTGTTTTGGGTTTGCTATAGCCATCTTTTGCCTTCTTTTGAGAGAGATGTTTGGGAGAATTGAGAATTAACTTTCTGCTCCAAAATATCAGTGTTGACAACCTATAAAACACACAACACTAGCCAGCTTTCCTTAAATTCAGCTGCATAAATTCATACATATTTTGTATGAAGCTGTCAGATAACATACGGTTTGCTACAAAAGATTGTCTTTTTTTTTTCCCTTGTAAAATTAAATGGTTGGAGGAAGATTCCACATTGTTTGGAATTGCCCAAGCATGGCAAAACTACATTACAGGTGTCTCAAATATAGCTTATGCAACTGCTGCTTAATTTATTACACTTTAAAATTTTATTGATGAGTTTTGTTTTTACATTACAAACACTTTCAGATTACCCCTATATGGTGAGCTAACTCACTTCTAAATGTGATCTTGTAGGCTACTTAGTAGCACAAGATGTGCAGAAACTAAAAAAAAAAGTTATTAATCAACAATCAGCTTAATATGAATAAAATTTAGTGGGAAATTGTGAGTTCCTATCACTTTCTATGATTTCTGTTTATATGTTTTAGGCATGGAGGTGTTTCAGTCTGCTTTGAAGGAAAGAAATACCCACAGTAATGAGACCTTAGAGTCTACCAAAGTATATCTTAAGTGGGCCTGTCTGTAGACAGCCTAAAATACCTTCTTGGTCTATGTATTGATCTCCATTTCTTCCTTGGAGGTTCTTTATTAACATCCTTCAGAGAGCCGAATGAGTAAGGTATTCAAACTGGATTGAAAAATTGACCTAATGCATTTCTAGTTAGAAGAGAAATTAGTTTGGAAACAGTGACACCTCCATGTGCTTCCAATTCTTTCCTCCCATTAGAATGCATGTCAAGTATTATCACACAGTAAGCATTTAACAAATGCTCGTTTCCTTCCTTTTTTTTTTTCTGCTTTTGTATCCCCAAATCTACCGAAGTGTCTTAATGATTAATAAATTTTTGTTGAATTTAATTTCGTGTCAGAAAGGTAGTGCAGTATAGTGGGAAGAATGCTAGATTTGAAGTCAGAGGGCTGAGGTCAAATATTGGCTCTGCCACTTACTCTGTGATGTTGGGCAGGTCAGTTAACTTAACTTCTCTGAGACTCGGTCCTCATGGATAAAATGACAAGGTTGGCCTGGATGATCTCTAAGGTTCCTTCTAGCTCATAACCTACAGTTCCATGATATTCTACAACCTGCTACCCATAATAAACTTCTCTATTTATCAGTGGTATCCTCTGTCTCTAAAAGGCTGAATCCTGCTTTTTATACCATTTGCCTAAGAAGCTTCTTCTATATTACAACATTGCAAAAATGGATCTCATTATAACTTTAATAAAGGTCATAATGGGTCCCCAATAAAGATCACTGAAACCCATTTCTACTTCTAAACTTCCCTATTTCTGTTGAGGTTACCATTATCCTTACAGCCATATTCAGATCTTTGGAGTAATTATTATTACTTATATAAAATTTTGTTGCTATATTTTGCAAGGAAGGGAGAGAAACACATTTTCATATCTCTTTTTGAAGGGATCAGGCTTGATCACTGAAAACAAATTTCTAACTTTTTCAAATTAGTAAGCATTTATTTTCTCTCCCTCCAACCATGACCCCCTAACTTAAATAAAGAATTGAATAAATGAAAAAGAAAACCTTTATAACAAATATGTATAGTCAAATAAACTAAATTCTGACACTGGCCACATCCAAAACTTCATGACTCATTTTGCATCTTGAATGTGTGACTTTTCTGTCAGGAGGTAAGTAGCATAATTCATCATCAGTCCTCTGGAGTCATCACTGGTCATTGCACTGATCACACTTCTTAAATCTTTCTAAGTTTGTCTTTGTAATGTGTTATTGTGTCAGTTGTTCTCCTAGCTCTGCATTATTTCATACAAATCTTCCCAGATTTCTCTGAAATCATCCCTTACATAATTTCTTGCAACACACTAATAGTCCTTTGCTCTGTGCTAAGCTTTGGAAAGACAAAGAAAAGCAAAAGTCCCTGCTTTCAAGGAGCTCATAGTCCAATGAATGAGGTAACATGGAAACAAGTGTGTACAAACAAGCTATGGACAAGATCAATTGGAGATAATTTACAGAAAGAAGGCACAAAAATTAAGGTGGATCAGAAAAGGCTTCCTGTAAAAAGTAGAAATTTAGCAGGGACTGAAAGGAAGCCAAGAAAGGCTGGAGGCAGAGATGAAGAGGGAGTGGATTCCAGGCATAGGGGACAGCCCATGAAAATGCTTAGAGTTAGAAGATGAAATTCATCATTCATTGAATACATGCTCTACTTTCCTTACTATTTGTGTTTTTCCCTTATCCTGGAATGCACTCTCCCCTAATTCTGCCTGTCAAAATCCTACCCATTCTATTTTTTGCTTTGTTTTTATTGTTGTTAATATACATTTTGCTCTTTAATAAAAGCTAGAGTAGTTGGGTGAAATTTTATACCTTACTTTATATGGTTATTTGGTTCAGTTTATGGACAGTTATTAAGTTCATTCTTAGTGGATTTGTGACCTCGTCAATGTAGGTCCACCCTCTAACAGTGATGACTATAATCCATTCATTCCTTCTCTTATCTATGTCCTCCCGTAAATTTTCCCTGGGTTTGGGCAGCCAGGAAACTGGAGGCCTTTTTCTAGATCTCTTGACATCATACACAGGGAAGCACACAAAATGACTATGGATACCAGCCCAGCTCCTTTTCTAATCCCATAGTTCTCTGATATTCTTTAAACTACTCCTGCACTGTTCTTCTTTGGTAAAAGATTGTAGCCTACCCATTCCCTCTGTGCATCAAAGATATTTGGCACTAATGTGTAGGAAGTCTAATGCAGAAACTAAGTTGAAGAATTCCTTATAAAGCCTTATAGATCAAGCCTGGGAATATTATACAACCCTCTAATGAGACCAATAATCATTCAAAAGAGCTTATCATATATCTAAAAGGCTAAATGTATATAATAATAATAATTGTTATTATTGTTGTTGTTGTTATTTTATAATAGCCAAAATTGAAATTTTAAAAAATTGAAATTTTTTTAAAAAAACCTATATTTTAAGGACCATGTTACATGCTCCCTCCTTCGTGAAGCTATCCACTGATTCCCCCAAATGAGTGTCATCTCTCCTCCCCTGAACCCACATTTATATCATTTTTATGACATTTGATTGTAATGTATGTTACCCTGGTGCCCACTGCTTGAATGCCCACATGAAATGTCATCCCACTTCAGTGTTCTCCAGCACCCCAGTGGAGTTTGGGGATGTCTAGGCTCTCTGGCAGTGTCTCCAACCTCCATCAATGATGTTCCCTCAATTGTATGGGGTCTCCTTGACCGCAGTTCCACTTAACCACTAAACAGTCAGGTCAGCTTTTATAACAGAATATTCACTTCAAAAGCATAGCAAGAACAAATATATTAACACTCTTCCTGCCATTGCTTAAGAGAGCATAATTCCCCCCACCCCAACCCCACACATCTTCAGTCTCTGAGGAGGGAAGGAGCATTAGGTTTGCAGTTTAATTCAGCTGCTGTATAACATAGTTCTACCAAGTTCCAAGTCCAAAGCTCTTCTTGGGCTCAAGTGCCAGGCACCCTAGCTTCTCAGGGCATCTAATATCTGGCCTAGGAGCCTGTCTGTCTGTCTGTCTGTCTGTCTGTCTTTCTTTCTTTCTTTCTTTCTTTTTTCTTTCTTTCTTTCTTTCTTCTTTCTTTCTTTCTTTCTTTCTCTCTCTCTCTCTTTCTCTCTCTCTCTCTCTCTCTCTCTCTCTCTCTCTCTCTCTCTCTCTCTCTCTCTCTCTCTCTCTCTCTCTTTCTTTCTTTCTTTCTTTCTTGCAATGGGATTAAGTGACTTGCCCTGGGTCACACAGCTAGTAAGTGTTATGTGTCTGAGGCCAGATTTAAACTCAGGTCCTCCTGAATCCAGGGCTGGTGCTCTATCCACTTCATCACCTACCTGCCCCAGGAGCCTTACTTTAAGGTCATCATTTCTGTATTCCAGGTTCTGGGACTCTACCACCTGTGCCTAGAATGGAAAACAAACAAACAAACAAAACAGACCAGAACAAAGCCCCAATCCCATTTCTCAGGTTTACAGGGATTAAAAGTGGGGAGGAGGGTAAGATAGTCCTTTCCCCCATGACTTACAGTATCCTTATGGGTGAAATGGACTCTTTATGGAAACAACTGTACAGAATGAACATGTGCTTATCTTGTAGTTTTAGAGATGTAGCCTGTTCCAGCTATATAGTCTATGTGAAAGTTTGGTAAGAGGGAAGAAGAGAAAGAGTGAGTGTGTTAACTTGTACTACAGCATGATACAGAATTCACTGGAGGACGGAAGAAATGGGGCCTCATTACCTAACTTAACAAAGAAAGATTGACTTTCACTGGAGTACTTTTTAAAGAGGTGATTTATTTTCAATAACCATAAACCTTTAAAATTGCTTTGTGACTATTCACATTTAAATACATGAATTTATACTCATAAAATATAACACATTTTTTATTCCTTCCAAGTCTCTATCAATAGACTTATTCATGTATTTTTTATCCATTCCAATGCACTTCTTTAAAAAATGCTTTACATAAGCTAATGAAGAATGAAATGAGCAGAATGGACAGTATAATTTGTACGATAACAACACTATAAAAACAAATTTTGAAAGCTCTAAGAACTATGATCAATGCAATGACTATTCATGATTCCAGAAGGCTAATGAAGAAATATACTATCCATTACAGAGAGGTGATAGGTTTAGGGTGTAGAATGAGACATCAATATTTTTGTATATAGCCAATGATGTAATTTGTTTTGTTTGACTGCATATTATTTTGTTACAAGAAATTTGTTTTTTCTTTTCTTTTTCAATAAGATGGAACATGGGAGAAAGAGACAATGATTTTTTTTTCAAAATGAGTAGATGGGGGATGGTGTTACAGGTGTGAAATGGTGCGTGTACTTGCAGATGAGGTCACTATATTACAAGTTTTACTTTTTACTTTGTTACAAGATACCTTTTATAAAGTGAGAGTAATCTGTGTTTAATGTAAAAAACAAAACATACTAAACCTTTAAAAAATAAGAAGTACTTAATATACTAATATTATCTCATTTGACCTCATTATACTACCTCACATGTAGTTCTTTACATATTTTTTCTTTTCTTAAATTTTAAAATTCTCTCTCCCATTGGCCTCCCCCAATTGAACAATTAAAAACAAATTTTCACATTGGATGTGTCCAAATACATATGTTTTATTCTGGATTTTAAATCCATCATCTTTCCATGGCATGAAGTAGGTAGTGTTTCACTGGCTCTAGAGGTCAAATGAGCAATCATTTGAAAAGTTTTTCTCTATATAATATAGTAATACCTTATTTGTCTATCATCATTGGGAAATGAGGTACTCTGTACACGTGAATTTTCTAGAAAGCTGACGTTTTTTTCTTTATGTGGCCAACTATTTTTTGTTTTTATAACTTTTGACAAAGATCTTTCTAAAATGTATTACATATTCATCAGCACATACTTTAACTTCTTAGTAATTTGGGATTTCTATACCATGCTGAAATTCAGTAAACTGTCTTTCAGAGCTATTGAGGCATAGGACTGCTTGTTTCTACACAACATGCTCCCTGATCTCTGTGCTTAATGAGCTCCAATTTTAAAAAAAAATTGTGTCTTCCTTCATTGTCATAGTGTTATCTGTGCCTTTCAACTATTGTCATTGTGCCTGTCTCTAACAGCACTCCTCATGCCTTTCCACCTCCTCCTTCCCCTACTCTCCTTCTAATTTTATTTGCTTTTAATCTGCTATGTGGTCAGTAACCAAATTACTAACTTCGTTGAAATTATGTGTAAAGGTAGAGACAGAACTGGAAAGCCGTTCTCTGGATAACGTGCTTGTACTTTCTGGCATGAAGTTACTGATAGTGTTTTGGTTACTCAGACTAGCTTTTCTTCTCTTAAAGGTGAACATAGCATAGTGGAAAGAACACTGGAGTCAAGAGACATGGGTTCAAATTCAATCTCAGAGAGTTATCAGCTGTGTAATAATGAACAAATCACTGGTATTCACTACCTTTTTGATCTGGGACAAATAATTTCGCCTCTCTCAGACTCAGCTTCCTGCCTGTAAAATGTGAGACTTCAAACAGAACACTTCAGAAGTCCCTTCAAGCTCTACATCAATAATCTGTGAAGATCTTGGAGCCTCTTAGTTTCTTCTGAAGATAATAATATACTACTTTTTTCTTTTTTTTTTTGAGGGGGGGGCAAGGCAATTGGGGTTAAGTGATCTGCCCAGATGGTAAGTGTTACGTGTCCGAGGTTGGATTTGAATCCAGGCTCTCCTGACTCCAGGGCCAGTGCTCTATCCACCGCACCACCTAGCTGCCCTGATAATCATATACTACTTGCCTCATATTGTTGTGAGGAAAACACAATGCTGCTGTTCTTTGAGTCACTGGGGTTGCATTCTTTGAGTGGGAAGTTATTATATAACTCAAATACTTAATTAGCTTTATAAAACATAGCCCTATTCTAAAAAACAGTCCATTAACACTTATATGAACTGCTGCAGAGTGAAGTGAGCAGAACCAAAACATTATATGTAGTAACAACAATACTGTACATTGATCAACTGTGAATGAGTGAGCTATTCTCAGCAATGCAATGATCCAAGACAGTTCTGAAGGACTTAAGATAAAAATGCTATCCACTTCCAGAAAAGAACTGGTGGAGTCTGGATGTGGATTGAGGGATCCTTTTTTTTTTTTACTTTCTTTATTTTTCTTGAGGTTGTCTTTTTTTTTCAAATTTGGTCTATGTTTTCTTTTGCAACATGACTAACATTTTACATGACTGAACATGTATAATCTATATCAAACTGCTTATCCTCTCAAGGAGAGGGGAGGGAGGGACAGAATTTTGAAGTTCAAAGTTTTTAGAAATCAATGTTAGAATTATTTTTACATGTAATTGGAAATATAAAAATAAAAATAATTTTTTCCATTTATGCCTAACAGGGTAAGTAGAGTAGGGTACATGGTATAGTAGAATTCTGGTCTCAGAGTTAGGAAGAACTGGGTTAAATTCTTGCATTGGCCATGTATTGGCTATATAAACTTCTCATTGTTCTCTCAGGCGTTTCCCTAATGCTCTCAACTGCCAACCTGTACTAGTAGAGAAATTGCCCTCCCTAAGTATTTCCTTTATCCAATGACATCACAGGTCGGGGGGAAAAAAAAGATGAAGGTGTTAATTTTATGTTTCTGAGGGTGATAGTCCAAGTCCCAATTTTTCTCTTCTCCTATCCCTGTTTTTTAGCCTTACTTTTTTTTTTAAAGCACTATCATATCTGGAAAGCTTTTCTCCAAAGCAGTGATCTACTATATTGTCTGGTTTCTGTTCTGTTCTTTATTATCTAAAAATTTAAGTAAGATCAATGAGATCATGAAATGATTGAACAGAAGATAAATCATATTCAGACTGAGATGATTGTCAATATCTCTTTATAGCAACTTTTGACTCATGGAGAGAGAAGTTATTTAAAAGGCAACTCCATGGAATACCTTGTCAGGTACAAGCTCTTTTGCTGGTGGTGGAAGCACATGATTGCGATGTTTTTTCACCAGGGGAAATTATCTGGCTCTCATAAAGTTTAAAAAATATCATATTTAATATATTCTAATTTAAAGATCAAATACAAATACCAGTAGTTTTACTACTAGATGAATATTACAACATTCTAGACTAGTGAGCTATTACTGACAGTATGTTTCATTGGACTTTGTTTTCAGATTATCTGAGCATGCACTTAGTGTAGAATTGAGAATCTGGTAAATTAAGTGACTTAAAAAATAATAACTCAGTGGTAAAGAAATTTATTCTAACTCCTAGAAGTAAATATGATAATATAGAAGCCTTAAGAACTTCCATCCTTCTGGGTGGTATGCTTTTATGCCCTTATTCTACTTAAGTAGTCAGAGGTTTAATTTTGAGAGCATCTAAAAAGGTTTTGAGGGTTTGCCGTTCACTTTTCTCCTGAGAAAACTTTCAAAATCCTCCCAGCTTATACTTCCAGAGACCAAACTGGATGTTTCATGTCTTTGCATGTACATTCTATGCTTTATTTTTGGTTTTCTACCATGCTGTGTGAGACCATGGTACAGTAAGGCAACAAAAGAAATATTCTCCTTCCTGTGTTGTTAATAGGCTAAGAACAAAATATAGCTCTATAAGGTGGGGGTGATAGATTTGCATGTATTGGTCTCTGGGACATAGTGGTTTTTTTTTTTTAAAAAAAGATTCAGGAGGATAAACTAGGTAGATTGCTGAAATTCAGCGAGAATGACCATAATGTGATCCTGTTAATGCTAGTGCTTTATCGCTATTGATGATCTCCAGTTTATCCCATATACAATTTGTATATATGTAGTTGTTTAGGTGTTATCTCCCCCATTAGACTGTGAGCTCCTTGAGAGCAGAGACGCTCTCTTGCCTTTCTTTTTAATCTCAAGCATTTAAAACAGGGCTTGGTATATTTTTTGTTGTTCAGTAATTTTTCAGTCATGTCTGACTCTTTGTGATCCCATTTGGTGTTTTCTTGGCAAAGATACTGGAGTGGTTTGCCATTTCCTTCTCCAGCTCATTTTATAGATGAAGAAACTAAGGCAAATAGGGTTAAGCGATTTGCCCAGGGTCACACAGCTAGTAAGTGTCTGAGGCCAAATTTGAACTCAAGAAAATTAGTCTTCCTGACTCCAGGCTTGGTACTCAATTTTTAAGAAATGTTTCTTGACTTTTTGTGACCAACATGTGCTTCAGAATTTCAAAATATCCATGATCCTGTTGATATGGGTGCTCCCTTCACTAGTTTGGATCCTAACCCACTCATGCTTTTTCATCCTGTGTGATTCTTGTCCATATTCTCCTACCAATTATCCCCAGAAAATCCATCAAATGTTATGGAACTTCCAGCCTTCCTCTAGCACAACATATACATCAAGAAAATAAAATGAATAATCTCCCTCCTATCAGAGTATCACTGTGACATTAAATATAAATAGATTGAAATATAGAAAACTCTAGTTCAAAATATGATTTAATTGCCTTCAGGAGTAATAACCAGATAGTATACACTGCTATAGTAAGCATGTCTCATCCCTGAGACTTGAGGATTTAATCTTTCAGCTTTAATATTTTTGCACACCCACATCGATCCATTATCCATGATTACATATCCGGGGTGGTTTAATAGCCTTTCTTATGAAGATCTCATTGGTAAAGCTATCTCAGATTCTTGATGCTGCCATATTGCCATATTGGGCTCAGAATTAGTTCTAGCAACTGGGGAGCAACAATGGAGCACCCCACTTTCCAGTATTAACTCCCATCAACAGTAGGAGCTATAAACTTGAATCATCTTGGTCAACTTCGCATCTTACTTCAGTTCTGATTTTTTACTTTCAATTTATTTTCTGAATAAAGCACTTCCTTCACCATTCTGATTTCTTTTTCTACTCAATTTTTCTTTTAACATAGAACTGTTTAGATGGAAATTTGTCACATAATGATTTCTTATCCACCACGGATTTAATTCAAGAACCATTAAAAGAACAAGAGGTAAGCAAAAGTTAAACTTATTGTCACTGTTTGGGTGCTACCTGTAAACTAGATACTGGGCAAAATCTAAAGATCTAGTCCTTGTTTGACAGCCTTGGGGTCTAAATCATACTCTTTCTGTTTGATTGAAAATCTGATGTGATGGAAGAAAACTGATAAATCTGTTACTCAACCTTGTTTGTAAGAGATCCAAAGTATTGAGGACCTATGGGTCTTAGTTAAATTCTTAGAAGTTTTGGAGGGCAGCTAGGTGGCACAGTGGATAGAGCACCAGTCCTGAAGTTGGGAGGACCTGAGTTCAAATCCGACTTCAGACCAAACGCTTGATACTTACTAGCTGTGTGACCCTGGGCAAGTCATTCAACCCCAATCGCCTTTAAAAAATTGCTTTTTTTAAAAAAAAAAAAAGAAGTTTTGGGGTCATGGTATTACATCAATGTTGACTAACACTTCCAGGAAATAAGTGATTATAATAAAACAGAACTTTATGGTGTTTAAAGTGCTTCTCCTTACAATAGCCCTGGTACATAATATAGAGATTATTATCATGATTTAATAGGTGAAACAACTGAGGCCCATCTGCATATAACTAATAAGTATAAGAAATAGGCCCCAAGTTTAGTATTCTTCCCACTATGCCATACTGTCTTTTATTATAGCCTAAGTTAAATAATGATTTTTTTAAAGTTTAGAAAAAACAAAACTTTAACTTCATGATTAAAATATTTTAGATGAATTTGTCTCCCTTCCCTTATTGCATTTATAAAAAGCTGATTAAGAATTATTTGTTGGAGAAGGTACAAAGTGTTGGAGTAAAGGACCCAAAAAGTTCTGTCTGTTTCTGGAACTGAAACATGAAAGACTTAATGTAATGTATAAATAAAAAACCAGTTCAATCAACAAGCATTTTGGTGCCTACTATGTGTCAGATACTGTTCTAATCATTAAAAATACAAATACAAATGAATAACAGGCCCTTACCTCAAGGAGCTTAGAGTCCACAGGGGAGACAAAATATATGTACATAAGGATATATAGAATATATGCAAAATGAATATAGGATATTTTGAGAGTGAAGGCACCAGTACCTGAAGGGACCTTCTGTAGAAAGTACCACGTAAGCTGTGGCTCATGGGAAACTAAGGACTCTGAGAGGCAGAGGTCAGGAAGGAAAACATCCAAAACAAGGGCAACACCCAGTACAAGGGTACAGCTGGAGATGGACCGTTATGTGGGAGGAAGAGCAAGTAGAACAGTGTAAGTGCACCACAGAGTGTGTGGATGCGATGAACGTGTAAGAAGACTGGAAGGTAGGAAAGTGTTAAGCCAAAAGAAGGAATTTAAGGTAACTGGGAGCTACTGGAAATTATTGAGTAGGGAATGAAATGGTCAGACCTTAGTCTTAGAAAAGTTACTTTGGCCACTGTGGGGATGATAGATTGTAATAGGGAGAGACCTGAGGAAGAGTGGTCAGTTACAGTCATCCAAAGGAGAGGCGGTGAGAGGTTGGACTGTGAGTGAACAGAGAGAAGACAGAGGCAATAGCTAGCGTGTGACTTCAGAGTCAAGAAGACCAGGGTTCAGATCTGTTCTGAGACAGCTACCTGTGTGACTTTGGATATGTCACAAAACCTCTTGACCTCAGTTTTCTCATCTGTAGAATAAGGTGGTTGGTCTTGATGCCCTGTAAGCTCCCTCCCTGCTCTCTCTCTTTCTGATACTATTATCTGATAGTAGAAAGCAAAGATGCCACAAGATTTGGCAACAGATTGGCTACGGGGGTAAGTGACAGTGAGGAAATGAGAATGGCAATGAAGCTGTGAGCCTGGGTGACTGAATGTATGGTAGGAAGATTAATAGGAAAGCTCAGGAGACAGATGACTTTAGAAGAAAAGGATAATAAGAGGTTTGGTTTTTTTTTTACTAGAGGCTGTTCTGCCACAAGAAATTTTGTGTGCAGGAAGCAGGAATACATAAGACACCATTGAACTTGGAGCTTGCAGGCTGGTACACACCTCTGGTAGGTAAGCATGAATTGTTGTTCCTTACAGTCTGCTTAATCAGACATTGTCAAGGACAGAAGGTATGTTAACATGTGTCTTTTAAAATGGGGGATACAGCACATGTGTGTTTGTATCCCTTTTAGTCAATCAATCCACAAATATTTATTTGGACCTTATTTCAACAAGCATTTATTAAGCATCTGTTCTGTATAAGGCATGATGCTAGGTGCCAGTTATACAAAAACAAAGCGTGATACAGCTCCTCTCTTCAAGGGAGGCCTTTGCACTCACTATCCACTTTGTCTGGAATGTATTCCCTCCTTACCTCTGCCTCATAGAAACATCCCTCTCTTCAAGGTGCAGCTTCAGCACCACCTCCTACATGAAGCCTTCCCTGCCTCAGGCATTTACTAGCTGTGTGAATCTAGACAACGTATTTAATCTCCATTTGGCTCAGTTTCCTCAACTGTAGAATGGGGATAATAATATCACTTACCTCTCAGAGTTGCTGTGACAGTTAAATGTGATGATATTTATAAATTGCTTAGCACAGTGACTGATGTGTAGTCGGTGCTTCATAAATACTTGCTTCCTTCCTTCTGATCTGTCCCAACAACTTGTATCCTTCCTCTCCAACTACTATATATTTATTCTATGTGTGCACACCCACCCACCCACACACACACACACACACACACACACCCCTATATTGTCTCCTCCAATGGAATGTAAACTAGAGAACAGAGATTTTCATTTTTCTATATCTATGTCTCCAATGCCTGTGAACTAGTAATATATGCCTGTTGATCTGTCAAATGATTGTAAGCCTCTTCAATAAACCTAGTAAGGCTTACTCATGAATAATGTGCATAATTATGCAAGAGACTGTATAAGAGAATATCAGGTTGTAAGGGAGAAAGAAATGTAAGGTGTGGTCCTGCATTCAAAGAGTTTGCAGTCTAGAAGTAGGGATCATAGGATCATAAATTTAGGTCTTAAAGATTATGTAGTTTAACCCCCTCATTTTACAACTCAAGAAACTGAGGTCCAGAGGTCATACAAAAAATATCAGTCGTGTAGCGCAGAAAATAACTAAATAAGTGCTATAAGTAAAAAGCAGAAGACCTTGATCAAGAGTGGTCTTAGAGGCCATCCAGCCCAATTCTTTCATTTTATAGATGAGGAAAAAGAAATTGTGACTTGTCTATGATAATATGGCTACTCAGTACCTGAGGAGGGATTTAAGCCTAGGTCTTCCATCCACTACCTGGTGCTGCCCTTAACTGCATTCGTATAGACACTTCTCTTGTAGCCCTCATGGCCTCTCTTCCAGACCATCTCTGTTACAATTAGCCTCCCTACCTCAAGTCTCTCTTTCCATTCCAATCCATCTCCAAAGAGTTGTCAAAGTGATTTTACTAAATCATGAGTCTTAATGTGTTATCCATCTCTCCACCAACAGGCTAAAATTGCTGCCAGTTACCTTGATAATCAAATAAGTTCCTCCTTTCCTTGTTTAAAGGTCTTAAAGACCTTTCCAGTCTTGCACATTATTCTCTTCTACTCACTCTGTGGTCTAGATATATTGTCCCACTTGGTCTTCTTCATACACAAAACTCGTCTTCCAGTCATCATGCCTTTTTGTTCTACTGCCTCCCTCTTCACCTCTCCCTCATGGAAACCCTGCTTTTCTTCAAAATGCAGCCCAAATGCTACCTTCTTCAGTTGGTCCCCCCTCTCCCAGGCTGCTAGTCCTTTCCCAATCAAGGTTACCTTGCGTTTGCAGTGTGTCTTATATATAATAATATACTGTGTGTTCCTGTTGTCTCTCTTGTTAATTCTTTGAGAGAAGGGACTTCACTTTTATTTTTGCGTTCCCATTGGTTAGCACAGTGCCTGGACTGTAGTAGATATTTAAATGCTTATTGGTTGATTCTTTACCAGATACCTGAGCAAAAGTTCATCAGAGAGCATTTAAAGCATCTTCTGCAAAGACCATTCTATGAGATGAAGGTGGAGACATCTCTGGGAACTTTTGATAGATTATATTCAACCAAGTTGGCTTCTGAGAATCGCAAACTAACCTCGCATAATTTTTCTGCAGTTAGTTTTTTAAAAAATACTTTGTTAAATTTTGCCTGGCAAACTTTGGTTCAAGAAGTATCAGTTTATACAGTGTACATTTATACTAAAACAGATTGAATAGTCAAGCAGGTCTGTGGTCAGCCAGGTGTGGGGGGGCTGCCTTTTTCAAGGCAAGAAAAACATTTGAAGTCTTCAGAAAAGACCAGCTACTGTCTAGATGATATTACTTCTCCCACCCTTCCCACTGCTCCCATACATCCACCTGGAGTAGAGTCAGTATTCACCCTTGGCATATAGGACTATTCTCATGGCTTTCTTAAGAGCTCTAGTCAACAGCCTGCTATTGAATATAATCATTTTTGCACTACAGTAATGATGTAGTTAGTTTTTTTAATGATGTAGTTAGTAGGTACTAGATTTGTAGTGTTATTTTTAAGAAATTAATATTTTATGTATGCCTATTAAAATACAGATGCCTTACATCTAGACAGCTTAACAAAGACATCAAGACTGAACAAAGCAAATCTCTCGTGTGTATCAAACAAAGTCCATTTTTCATGTGAAAGATCAGACTATGGAGAAGTAAAAGATGAGTCTGCTTTGGACATAACACTCAAAGGACACAAGTAAGACAACAAATGATGAGTTGAATATATGTCATTGAACAGCAATGAGATGTTAGAGGTCAGAGTAATGCTTTTCTCCTCAGCTTTTTTTTTTCGTAGCAATATAAGTTCTCTAACTTTTAACAAATTAACCTTTTTAAAATAGAAATCAATTTCCACATTTCTCTACAACTAGTACAATGTTTTGCACATAGTAGGTATTATGGAAAGATTTGTTGAACTGATATCAAGTAGTATTCTTTGCCTGTCAACATGCATTTCAAAATTTCAAAAGCAAATTGGCCTACTTAAAATGTTTCCTGTTGTTCCAAATCTACCAGTTCACTTGATCAAACTGAATAATTATTTCTGCTATCAATTCCTAGGAAAGGCAATATTAGCTTTTGAAGTCTTCTCTGATCCATATTCCTCCTAGAATATGAGCACTTGTCTGGATTAAATGACTAACTTCTCCTAGACTCAGAAATTTAGTTACGTTGCTGGCCATTGTCTTCCCTAAAGCTGCTTCACTCAGCAACCGAGAGGGAGGAAGCAAGTTTTTGAATTGCAAACTCTTTATTTTCATTTTCTCCCGTCATCTCTGTGGCTTGTCAGCTTTAGTAGACAGGTTTGGGAACGTTTTTGCATAATGCTTCATCCTTCAGGATTTAGAGAATTTGAAGTGAGGCTATTTGATCATTTAGGATGCTGCCAAAGACATGTATCTATTCCTAGTTTAAATACAAGGGGAGAACCTACAGTTTCTTACTTTTAAATATTCAATTCTAACTTCTACTGCTAGGTGCTCAGGCGTCTCAGTCGGTGTCCAGACAATTGCATATCTTCTTGTTTCCTCCACAATGGACGATCTATGTGTGAGGGTAAGTATCAGACAAGTCTTCTGTCCTTTTCTCCGGTTTGATTTAACCTGTTGTTGCCTTCATGAGTGTTTGTTGGTTTAGTATTATAGACACATTAAATAAAAAAAGAAAACTACTTGGTGTCTACTCTCTAGTTCATATTGAACTTAATAATCAATTAAATAGACAAAAATTAATCAAGTGCCTCCAATATGGCCAGCATGCAATAAACATTTTACTGGAGACAGAAAATACTTTTTTCCCTCTAAAGAAACCAATGATCTAAATAGCAGGCAAAATTGAAGAGAAGAAGAATTTAACTATGTGCAATTGATACTTAGTTGAACAGTTGTTCCAAGAAAAGGGACAAGTAGAACCTCAGAAGAAGCTTCATGAGGAAAGTGGGTTATGAGCTAGGCCTTAAAAAATATGTAGGGGGCAACTAGGTGGTACAGTGGATAGAGGACTGACCCTGGAGTCAGGAGGACCTGAGTTCAAATCTAGCTTCAGACACTTGACATTTACTAGCTGTGTGACTCTGGGCAAATCACTTAACCCCAACTGCCTCACCAAAAAGCAAAAAAAAAAATGTAGGATTATATGTATATGTGTTGTGCTAGAAGACAGCATGAAGACAGATACAGAAGTAAAAAATGATCATGGCATGCACGGGGGTAGGGGGGCATTTTTTTACTTTGTTTTGCTAGAGCACAGGAGGAGGGAGTGTGTTGGAGAGTGACAGGAAATAGTTAAATGGATAAAGTGGGGTCAGAGCATGGAGATATTTGAAAGCTGATAATTGATGATATAGGAAATAATAAGCCATTGTAGGTTCTTGCTCAGAAAAGTGACATGAAATAAGTAGTATTTTAGGAAAATTAGTCTGGCATTAATATATAGCATAAACTGAAAGGAAATGAATCAAAACATTTAGGCTCAATTAGATCAGTGGCTTCAAGAATACAGAGGAAAGGGGGAAGGATCCTAAAGACATTTTCAAGGAAGGAACAACAGAACTTAGTAGTGAATTTTATATAAGCGATGAATTTGAGAATTGACTTGAAAGTCTCCACTGTTTTCTGATCTGGGAGACTGGAAAAATAGTGCTACCGCTCACTGAAGTAGTTCTACTTTTCTTCTCTGGGAAAGAGAGTGAGTGGGAGGGAAAGACACAGACAGAAAGAGAAGATAGGGTAGGGGTGGAGAGAGACAGAGAAGAGAGAGAGAAAGAGAAAGACAGAAAAAGAGAAAAAAGAGACATAAGAATGAGAGAGAGAGGAGAGAGAGAGAGAGAGAGAGAGAGAGAGAGAGAGAGAGAGAGAGAGAGAGAGAGAGAGGCAGGCAGAGAATGAGAATGTGGATATTAATTTTGGAGATTCTGATGAGAAGACTGGCGAACTTATTTTCAGTTTCAGAGCAGGCTGCTTTGGCCTTCAGTTTACTTGGCTTTGTTGGTACCTAGATGGCTGTGGTGAGACCATATAGTGGAGGAATTTGAAATTCTTCGTAATCATCAAAACCTGGAAGGTTTCTGAGATGCCCTGTGGCTTGCCTAATGTTGAGGTTAAAGCTAAGCAGCCTTCTGGGGGATGGCTGTTTTTCAAGGTCACAGCAAAGGATATTGGGCTGAAAATGGACTTTGTAGCTTGAACAGTACACGTATTGCTTTTTTGGATAAGAAAACAATACTAAAAGTTGTAAAAAGGATATGGTGGGATCTGTTGCTCACATACCAGAGGATCTGGTGAAAAAATGTGAGCTCCTTGAGGTTAGGGACTGTTTTTACCTTCTTTGTATTCTTACCCTTTGGCATAGTTCCTTATGTATAGTAAGTACTTATAATATGTTTGAAAGTTGATTAACTCTACTCATCCTTCCCCAAATTCTTCCCTTTCCCAAACTTCCCTAATTTCTGTAGAAAGCACCAGCATCCTTTTAGTCTCCCATATTTGTAAACTCAGCATTATCCTGAATCATTCATTCTTCCTTATCCCACATATCTAATCATTTCCCAAAGCTTGCCTTCCCTGCAGCCTGCCTTCCATCAGACCCCTTCTCTCCACTCCCATAGCTACTTCCTTAGTTCAGGCCCTTTCAATTTGATTAGTGAAACAGTCTCCTTGTTGGTTTCCCTCACTCAAGTCTTTCCCCAGTCCAGTGCATACTGCATACTGGTGCCAAAGTAATTTTCCTCAAGCTCACATCTGACCTTGTGAATCTCCTATTCCAATAACTCCAGAGCCTTCCTATTTTCTGTAGGATAAACAAAAAATTCAGTTTAGCTTTTAAAGCTCTTAACAACATGGCCCCATCCTGTCTTTTCAGATTCATTGGGTATTACTCCTCTTCACACACTCTTCAATCTAATCAAATTATCTTTGGCTTTGTTCTGCATATGTGACACTCCATCTTCCATCTCAGAGTTTTTGCAGTGGCTGTCCCTCAAACCTGGAATGTACTCCTTCATTAATTCCACTTAACAGAGTCCTCTTCCTTTAAGATACAGCTCATATATCATCTTCTACATGAAGGCCTTTACTGATTTCCCCAACCAATAGTACCCTCCCTCTACCTTGTATCTAACTGCTTTGGATATATTTGTATTTGTCCACTTTATGCTTATGCTGCATATATTTATGTATGAATTTGATATTTGCCCCCATTATAAGATCATTGCAAGGAGATACTGTTTGATTCCCAGTGCCTGTGTCTACAGCACCTAGCACAGTGATTGGTTAGGCACTTAGGAAACACTCGTTACTTGGTTGGTTGATTCATCAAGGATGCTCTTGACATATATGTAGATTTTCTCATGAAGAGTTTGTAGAAATGTGTAGGTAAGCAAATAAGTTGATAGTTACTGATACTTTCTGGATCACTTTTTTTTATTAGTAAAAACGTCTGGGATTTTTGTTCAGTGTTTAGTATTTTCTTTTATTTCTGATACCTTAAGAGTCCAACTCGGCATTCTCAAAACCATTTCACTTCCACCATGGAGTCCTCTATGAATACTTCCAATCTTATTTTCTTTTTTCTGCTATTTCTATTTCCACATGTAGCACATCAGTAATCATAATGTAACAATCCAAATATGGTGGCTCCACAGTCATTGATGGAGAAAGTTGTGTTTAAAACTCTTAGCCAACTTTTTCCATTTTTCATTCATTTGTTGTCCTTGTAGTTTCATCCTCAAAGGCCCTCAGCCTCTTCTGGCTTAACTGAGTTTCTCTGAGAGCTTTCTGTGAACTTATTTCAATACTTATCGTAATTTTGCACCCTCTTATGTAACATTTTATAGAAAGAGCTTGTTTTAAGCCTATTTTTTCCTTAGGTAATGTATTTTTACATGACCTGGATTTTAAATTTTGTTGGCTGAGGTAATTGCTGGCTTTCTTTGGCCTCTTCATTGTGGCAACTGATTTAATCAGATTATCATCCTTAGAAATTAGCACATGTTAACATCTGTTCTTTTAGCCCTGTCCCATTTTGGGTAGCTTAGAAATAAGTCAAGTTGGAGCTGCTTCAGCGTTCTGTCTTCTCATCTTTATTTCTTCTAATTTAGTATTGATTTTGGTCTTTGTCCTAAGTCAATGATCTGGCTGTACACAGAGAAACAATTCAGAAATGACTTCTACATTGATAACTAGTCATTTGGTGCCTGTTAAGATGTAGGTTGTTTTTTCATAGTTGTTTGCATGTTTTCTCCCCCATTAAACTGTGAGCTCCTTGTGAGCAAAGGCTATCTTTTTCTTTGTATTCTCAGCGGATAGCACAATGACTGGCACATAGTAGGCACTTAAATGTTTGATAACTATTTCTTATCCACATTTGACACCCTTTAAGAAATAGGTAGTCTTAGAAAATTTTGTGGCAAGCTGTAACAAAGCTATGGAGCTTACCAATATGATGTAGTTGTCTTTCTGAAGAAAGGAAGGGGAAAACTTTGGTTTGCTTGTTTTCTTAGCCCATCTCCATGATGTCTTATCATTTGAGAGTTTCCATAATCACATGTGAGAAGTATGAAGCAGAGAGGATATCGCTGAGTTCTGGTCAGGTAAAATGGAAATCAAAGTTGTCCATATTTGTCTTTGCTCTTCATTAGGGATAATGCATGTAAAGGTTTGCAAACCTTAAAGCACTATGTAAATGTAAGTGATACTATTTTTAACAACCCACAACATCTCTTCATGGGTGTAACTTTCTGGGGGAAAGATGTCATGACAGAGAAAAGGAGGCAAGTTCAATGGGGAAAGTGCTGGATGTTTAGTCATAAGACCTGAGTCCACGCATGCTACCTCTGCCCTTACAACCTTTGTGACCTTGGACAAGGCACTTAACCTATTTGGTGTCTCAGTTTCTTCATTTTTAGAGTAAGGGGGGCGAGGTGACCTCATGGGTCCTTTTCAGCTCTAAATCTATGATCCTACAAATTTTTTAATTACCTCAGTAGTTCTCCAAGCTATCCTCATTGCTATCTTGGTTTAAGCATGTATGTAATTTGAACACACTGAAAAGACAAAGAATATTCTCGATTGTGAAAAGGTTGAAGAGTGCTGGAAGGCTAAGACCTATGAGAAATTCACTCCAAAATAATATCACTGAGGTTTGAAAGTAGGATGTGCAGTTAGTGCCCAAAGTTAGAGAAAAACTGCTTAGGAATTATTCGTTATTTTATTCAGATTCTAGTAGTTGTCAATCCTTTAGATTTGACCCTTCCAATCTTTTGATGATATTAACAAGACTTTGAGCCATTTCAGTGTTTCTTGGTTATATCTTCAAATATAGTTAATGGTGAGTTACTTTATTCAAGGCTTAAATGTATATGGGAAGACTTGAATCAGTTTTGTTTTGCTTTTTAATTTAAATTTATCTGACTATTCTCTTGTCTGGCATAGCAAAACATTGATTGGTGATATAAGCTTTAATCTATGGGAAAACTTGAACTACCAATCAATGTTTTGCTATGTCAGACAGGAAGATAGTCAGACAAAGTTAAATTTTTAAAAATATATGTAAAAGAG